AGTGCAAAAAAACGCAAGACTTAAAACCCGGGGGGCCCAACTTCCAGCCCAGCTTTTCCATGACCCCCAGTGAGGGTTCTCCTCCGTCCTCTGGGTCTCCTCTTCCTCATCTTCTTCCTCAACCTCTTCCTCTAGGAAACAAGGGTGAAAGCATCAACAATAACAATAACAATTGTCCTCTTTTACAGAGCACTTGCTGTGCCGGGCACTTTGTGTTCTCACAACACCTAAGAAACGCATTATTAGAAGCAGGTTTGCTGTGAAACTAATGAAGCTCAAATTCCAGGACCTTTTGCATTTGCATGGGCCCTTCCAAGGCAGCAATGTCTTCTTAGGTCCCAGCAATGTCTTCTTGGGGTCAAATACATGTATATTGTTTTCTTTTTAATTTGCAAAAAATAAAAAATTTAAACTACGACTGGTCAAGATCTCACTGTTTTTTCCCACTCTATCCTTCTTCCCAATATAAATTATTCCCAAGGCACCTGGAAGTATGCGGGTGGTGGAGGAGAAACAGGGATTTGTATATGGAGCAAGAAGCAAATCTGTGCAAAATTCTTTCGATCATTCATCACTAAGTTGTCATTTCATCTTGACACCAACTCTAAAAGGAAGTTCCCTCCTATAAGGAATAGGCAGCAGATGCAATTATAAATGTTCCATGCACGTTTTTCTTTTCCAATAGGCATTACACAATGTAGAATTTATAAAAATTCTGATTACAAACCTACAAGCAGTACTACAGGTAGCAAATACTGGGTTGGCCAAAAAGTTCATTTGGGTTTTTCTATAAGATGTTACAGAAAAACCCAGATGAACTTTTTGGCCAACCCAATACATCTATGTGTGAAAGGGCATGTTTTACATCTCCTTACTATCAAGAATAAAACTTAAAGAGAATTAACCTTGCGAGAGGAAAGACAGAATCATCTCTCTATTCTCACTGTAGAAATTTATTTTTAAAAATCATTGACAGCTCTACCTCCTTCTCTTCCTTCCTCTTCCTGAAAATGTCCATCCTAAAACTACTGGGTAGAAAGGAACAAGGTAAAAGCACACACCAGTGAAAGAGGGCACCACGGTGGCCTCAGCAGGGGCAGAAGGGTGTCCTCAAAGAGCAGTGACCTGGCATAGAGGGACCGGCCCAGCAGGGTGAAGGAGTCCATGAGTGGGAGGGGGCAACCTGACCCAAGGTATCTGAGCCCAAGTGGGGAGAGGAAGCCATCTTACAGCAGAGAGGGTTGTGGCAGAGACGGCAGATTGGTTACAAATGGAGGCTTGATCCAATAAGTAAATAAGTTAAAAATAATGAAAACCAGATTTCTCAATGTCAGAGAAGAGAGGTATAATATAGAAAGGGCGAAAACTAGAATGAATCCCATTATAGTGGATTAATATTACAGATAATAGTATGAACTCATGTTTTTCAGTATGTATAAATAAACATAGGTATAAATGTGTGTGTGTGTGTGTGTGTGTGTGTGTGTGTGTGTGTGTGTGTACATTCCCTAACTCTGGGAGGGCTGGGAAGCAGTGGCACCCTAATAGCAATTAATAGATCTTCGTTTCTAAATATGATTCTGGTACCCAGATCACGGTGGAGGTTTTTTTGTTTTGGGGTTTTTTTTTTGCGGTACGCGGGCCTCTCACTGTTGTGGCCACTCCCGTTGTGGAGCACAGGCTCCGGACGCGCAGGCTCAGCGGCCATGGCTCACGGGCCCAGCCACTCCGCGGCATGTGGGATCTTCCCGGACCGGGGCACAAACCCGTGTCCCCTGCATCGGCAGGCGGACTCTCAACCACTGCGCCACCAGGGAAGCCCCCAGATCATGGTTTTTAAATACTATTCTCTACTAAAAGATTAAATCAGAGCTACGCGTAGTACTAGTTGCTTCCAGGGGCTGGAAAAGTGATATCTTCATATACTAGGAAACAAAGGATGTTCAAAGAGTAATGGGGGCATGTCAAAAGGACATAGACTCCAGCTTGAAGGGGATCCCATTGGCCAAGTCTGTAACAATCTGAGCATCAAACTAAATAACGATAGTAACGACTACAAGCCACTGAATAAAATAGGAGACCATGAATTCATAGTTAAATACAAACACACACAAGTATATTCAATGTATGAAGAGGAATGTTTACATAGTTTCAAAGTACCTCCTCAAGAAATACTGATTCAGGGACTTCCTTGGCCAGGTCCAGTGGCCAAGACTCCTCGCTCCCAATGCAGGGGGCCCAGGTTCGATCCCTGGTCAGGGAACTAGATCCCACATGCTGCAACTAAACATCCTGCATGCCTCAAGGAAGATCCCGCATGAGCGGCAACAAAGATCCTGCGTACCACAACTAAGACCCAGTGCAGCCAAATACGTAAATAAATATATATATTAAAATAAGAAAGAAATACTGATTCATTAAAAAGGGGGAAAGAGAAA